TATTTTAATTTTTATACTCGGGTCGAATACGAATATGTCCAAAACCCGACCCAATTCGACCCCTTCGGAGCACTAGTTGGAATGCTAAGTCCAAAATCAGCAATTTGAGGAATTCTATCTGATAGTAATAACATATTTCCAGGATGAAAGTCACGATGTACAAATTTTAATCCGTGGATTTTTTGTCAGATTATTGATAATATAAGAAAAATAGGTTGATTCCAAGACAATTTTCGTAGTAGGAATTTATTTACGGAGATCAACCATGTGCATAATCCATCACAGCACATGTATCGTTATATACATGTAATATTTAATAGCAGTCTGAATCTATTTTTGAAAAACTTGATTGTATTAGAGAACAAAAGAAATTTGTACTTTAGAAAATTTTCATTTTTTCACCTCATGTATAAACTTGAGTAATTTGGTTTGAATTTTCAACACAACTTTCCTTTCCCTGTCGTTTTGATTTCAACATAACTTTACTTTCTCCCTGTTGTTAAATTATTTTCTTCATGATCACATCCTCTAGTTAATGGTCCATTAACAGGTTATTTTATAAATTGACTCAAAGCCTCCATTTGCAAGAGATTCAATGTTCGTAAATCTTTCGAATCCATTCGAATAATATAAATAGATATTCATATTTAATTTTGTTGTATTCTTTTATTAGATTGTCGATATCCTGACAATTCATCGCTATAAATTCGTTTGTGTTATTTGAAAAGTCATCGCAGCTATATTTATTTTCTTAACAACGAGTACATTTACTATAATCATGAGTATTGTGAATTAAACACTCATCGCAGTATTTATTCTCTTGACAATAGTAACTAACACTCATTACAATCATATGTATTTGATTCCATCTTTGACTTTAGTGAATAAAATGGGTGAATTGGTTAAATGATAGGAAAACAAACGATAAGTGTTGTCGTCCTTGCAGGGTTACTCCATTGGAACAACACGGACCAGAGCTCCAGTTTGAGTGGTAAGTAAACTTGGGTTGGTTCACCCCGGGGTGTGTGTTACTCCATTAACAACCCTACTTGCTATTTATGATCCTGATAATATGACAACCTCATTAATATGGTCAATTCAAACCATAGGAATTTTTTTCCCTGCCAGTATTATGACATATGACCAAAAATCCTGAAATAATAATATAATGTCATAAACAATAAATATATCAGTGAGAAACATAAAGTAGTAAATGTACAGCGTAAAGTACGTCAGAAACAAAACATATCATGTACACCCCCACCAAAAGTCTTCGGCAATGTTACGTAATCAAGATTTCAAAAAAAGTCACGAAATTTCAAATCAAATTATCTTAGCAACTTTATTTATAATAAATTTTTATACACCTCACCTGTAATATTTTTCTCCAACACACTACCAAAGCGCCTAACTTACTTTTAACAAACAACCCCAAAACAACCCAAATCATTACCCCATTATTGCCAGACTTTACTGTGGGCATCAAGCACTCTACATCATATTTTTCATGGGGTTTATGCCAAACTCATTGCTGTCCATCATTTCAAATAGAAGGAATCGAGATTCATCACTCCAAATAATATTATTCCATTCTTCATTCCATGATTTATGTGTTTGACACCATTTAAGCCATTTTTTTCTGTTATTCTCTGAAATGAATGGTTTTCTTTTTCAAATGCGGCCAAAATAATCATGCTTATGTAATATACATCTAGCTGTACTCATACTAATTTGGGTAAGATTAAGTTTGTTAAAATATTCAGTAATTTATTCAAGAGAATCTTTTCTATTTTCTCTGGCTTGACATATAAGAGTGCGCTCTTCATGATCAGACAAAAGAGGTGGCCTCCCAGAATGAGCAGCAACATCTGTAAGACCTTTTTCATGGAAATTATTTATGGCATTTTGACAAATGGTTCTGGGTATTCCTAAAAATTTTAGAAATATCAGAAGCATCATGATTGTTCTTTGAAAGTCTAACAATCATTCCACGTTCGAAAACGGATAGTTCACGACGATTGGCCATTTTTTTCAAAAAACGTATAGGATAAAGAGACTAAACAATTTTATTTTCGAAAAGAGTTGATTTCTAAGTATTCAAGAAAAAAGTGCTTTAAATTTGGTTAGATCTATGGGGAGAAATTCCAATTTAAAAAAAGCTACGTGATAGGATATTATTGGCTAATTCTGAACTGCCAAAGACTTTTGATAGAGGTGTAGATAAAGATAGGCATGCGTGAAGTCATCTCTATTTTTGAACGAAGTGTTACCAATAACATGTAGAATTCACTAATTACACTAAAAAACCGTTCCTTTTCCATTGCATGTGATCGCCCTGTGATACAGGTACATATGTCATGCGTTCAGTAACAAATAAAATAAAGAATAACAATTATAAACCACTAAACACAATAGTAAATAGAGCTTTTTGCGTCAAGCAAAATAAACAATGCCCAATTTAGACTATCAATATATCTTTATCTTTTAAACCAAATTTCGTATACATGTATAAGAGAAATTATTTCATTAAAAAATTCAGCTGTAACACTTCGTTCTCGACTTAATGAATACCAGAGGCGGTGAAAAACTTTTGCAATTAAATGATCGCTTATTTGATGCTATTTCGAGAAAAATATTAATTTTTAGGCGATATACCACTTCACAAAAGAGAAGAACACACTACATGTATTAGAAAAACTCAAACCTTTGTTTTCTCATAAACATATAAACATATTAAATGTACATGATACAAAAATGCACTTTATTTCGATTTATATCATCACGCCATTTAGCAAAACGTGTACGACAATGTTGACCAATTATTGTTACATATCGATATGCAAATTAATCGAAATATGTAATTTACTGTTGTACAACGATAAAGTGATTAAGTAAATGCATTGATTTTCCGAAACATCATATTCTCTCAAATCAATGAACTAATTGCATGTATATTATGAAAAGGGACCAAATTACCTTAGAGAATCTTCAGGTAAGTTTTTGCACAGATTTTTTATTACCAATGTCATGAAAATGCTCAGGATGTCTTTTTTACTTTCTTGCATATATGCATTTTTTTCTTGATGATTATGAGCTTATAATCTCTCAGATAGTGTTAATTTTTTGTTTTTCCTATTTCTTTTGTACTTGGCAAGAGATCGTTATACTCTTACCAGATTATGTCACATTTTTCTTGCAACTTGCTTGGCACTCATAATTTCAATAAAAACCATTATTTCTATCATTGTCAAAGATGACCAATTGGTATGAAAAGTATCATATTCACACCTAAAAATTTTGTTTATTGTATGTTTAAAAGCAAAAGAAGAAAATAATAACAAAAAATTTATGGTTAACAATCATAAAAGCGGAAAAACTCGACGCATATATTTACCCATGTTGTTGCACATGCAAATCGGGGGCGTTACTTTTTGTGCCGATTGTCATGTATCTGACTGTCCGAAAATTCTGGGTACTTTGTATTTTGTTTTATCTCTTGCTCCTGCAAAATTAAGATTTTTTGTGCATACTTGTACATGTAGTAGGCATTTACCACATTTGAAAAACTGGATGCATGTAAATGGGCATTTAGGTTTTAATTGGTGTGCTACACAATCAAGTTAACTTTTATAGATAAATTACATGTCGTTGCACACATGTTCATATGCTGTAATTAAATCTTAACAAGTATATACTTTAATAAACTGGAACCCAAACCTTTACTCGCTTTTAAATTACTAGCCAAATAAACAAGTTATCAATGAAAAATAAATCAAACATGGTACCACGTCTAGTACATGTAATTTTTTATTGTGCAGGAACAAAATAAAAGATAGGGATGTGTGAAGTATCTCTCTACCTTCGGATGAATTTTTTTCTCTTGAAATTGATTAATAATCAGTAATAAAAAATCTCATTCATTTATATGAAGTTTTTTATAAAATGGGAATTGACTTGGGCATG